GGTGCCCATTGCAAGGTCAATAAGTCCATGATCACGTTGAGGAGCTCAAAAGGGTAAGACAGGTCGAACAGGGTCAGAAAGGATGGTTGTGGTTCTACAGCGGCCTCCCTTTAGGCATCAAGAGTCTTGGTTGCCCAGCCCAAAGACACATCCGCTGGCCCCCCTGGGATCTACAGGTCATCAGAAGGCTATTGGCAGTTAGGATGTTTTGCTGGTGCTCATTGGCACAGGCAGTGCACTCGCGCGCGGCTGTTGACTATTGCAAGGCGAAGGATGAGTCCATGAGTTTGTAAGAATTACAGTCCATGTTGAGAAGCTTCACAGGGCAAGACAGATCGGACAGGGGCATGTTTGTGGTTCTACAGCAGCCTCCTTTTAGGCATGGAGAGTCTTGGTTGCCCAGCCCAAACACGCATCTGGCCCCCTCTAATCTAGAGGACGTGTCGTAACATCACATGTTTGAATCGTTTTGACCATCGCTCAGCTGAAGAAAGTTTGCTCGTGCATCAAGACGTGGCTTGTTGGCGATGTCCCTCTCGCGTATGAAACTTTGCCACCCACCCATAGCCTCAACCAAGACGAAGGGTTTACACAATGACATCGTTTGCGCCAGGGTCCGAGATTAAATTGACGAAGCATATCGTGAGTCGTGCGCATTGGGCGCCGTTCGTTCTAAAAGTTGGTCATAACTTTGTTTTTGTCAGAGGACCTCAACGCATACAGTAATTTCCTTTGAGAAGCGCAGGTGTCACCAGGAACGGGCAAGCTGTCGCTACAGAAACTGCCACCCAAATCTCGAGCTGAAACGGCCGGATGCAGTAAAGCCTGGAAGGCGATGAGACTCAAGGAAAGCCACATGAGATTCTTCCAATCCAAAATTAGAGAGTTTGTTCAGTTTTGTTCATTTGGGTAAATTTGGGTCGCGTACTTTCATCGCGTAAATTCATTCGTAAGCATACCCTTTCAAATCACATAGGCCAAATATCAGACTTTTCATTTGCCAGGTGTCATCGCTATAGAAAGGCCAGACATCTCCCTCTCTGCCGAAAACCGCATCATTAAATTAGATGTTATCCTGCCACAGAGATTATATAGATCAGAGGCAAATGGAAGGGTAGTGCACAGAAAGGCTTTTGCAAAAAGCCTATTACTAACGTTGTGGAAGGCCCGGGATATTCGTGGAACCCGGGGCTATTCGTGGATGGTATGGTGGTATGGTGGACCAGTAGGAGAACAAAGCCGTAACAAAACACAAAAACCTTCGCAGAACTTGGTAGAAGGTATTTTTAATGTACTAACGTTGTGTAACCAATTTTTGTGAACCCCTTTCCACTCATACCCTCCATTTAGCCTTCATTAGATGTCGACACTTCGTGTGACATGTGGCCGACTTGAAGAACGTGAGGTGGAGCATGTCATGTCGACAGCTCCATGTCGGGGTCCGAAACCGAAGTCCTTCATGGGTGTCACATTCCCCAGAAGCTGTACCCGTTCGCCACATTTTGACATGATGTTCAAGCAGCAGCTCCGAATTTTAGCAAGTGACATCAAGCATTGAATGACACTGCCTAGTTGCCACAGCTTGTTTGCACACTGCAGGGCCAACTTCCGCCAGGACCCAGCTGAGACCCTGATCGGGACTGTTGCATCAGTGAGACTGTGCTTCCTACGTTGCCGGCAACTTGCCGGGTGATCCTTGCCATGGCTTTACAGTGTCGTGCAAGCCGCAAGTCCTTGAATGTGTTCAACATGTTTGGAGCTTGAGACTGCAGCATTTGCAGTCAGGTTCAGAGGATGATTCCTTATTGCAGAGATCGGCCTTCCGGGTGGCAAAAGAAACAAAAACGCAACTGTAGTAATGCGAGACTGGGAGACTTTCTCGACAGAAGCACTTCGTTTTCTGATTCCCCGCCCTACAGGTGGGAAGGCATGTTCAAAAACAACATAAGTTTGGGAAATAATCATGGAAGCATCAAATGCATGCCTCGACTGACGCTGGTATGGCTGTGCAATGCTGCATCATGCTGCATCACATGCAAAGAAACCATCAGGCCCTGTTTAGCCCCCCCAATCGTGAAGTAGTTTGAAGGTTTGGTCAAAGAAACTTCTTTGGGCCCGGTATGGCCCGGTAAAGAATGTGCAACATGTCAGGATCATGTTCGTTTTGAGGTCCTTCAAGCAAGCAAGCCTGTCCCAGGGCGCATGATTTCAGAGCACATCCGCCTGGACACGCAGCTCCTTAATATGCATGCACCTAGACCTACACTTAGACTTAGTGCCGGTGTTAAGCTCCAAGTGAAGCATTTCCATTCATCCGCCAGTGGCAGATGAGCTTCAAGAGCAGGGTTACGCGCGAAATCTGCATCAGGGTGCCACTTCCAAAGCTGCGCTTCTCGCTGTGCAAGGTGCTGTCGGACAGCCCGCTTCTTGGTTTTTGAAAACGTCTCTTTAACATCTCAGAGCACCTGGTTGCTTGCGGAACAAAATAGCTGCTCGTTAGCTCTTGTTCCCCACCCTGCAGGGAACTTGGGATATGTGTGATGTGTTGCAGACTATGGGTATGCTAGTCGTGGATGTTTGCATTGTTCAAAGAGTTGTTGTGGGTCTCAATGTTTGCCCTCTATTATGCCAGGCATGGCCCACGAGTTCATGTGAGTGGCGCTCAGTCCACTGTGTCCACTTCTGTACTTTCAGAGAAGGATGAACTTGGGGGTTCAGTGAATCACGAAACCTCTGCAAGAGAACTGCCTACAAGTCGTTTGGTAGTATTTCACTTCCACGCTGGTTTTGTCTCAAGTGATATATTTGCCTCAATCCACAACAATAGGGCCCAGAGCTATCAGGGCATCAACTGCTGATTTTGGTAGCAGTGGATTGGTGATCTTCAGTTGTCAGAACATCATCTCCGCTCAGAGGCGGAATCCATCGGTATTTGGGCTGCGCTCTGTTGAGGTTTGTCCCATCCCATCCACTCTGAACCTTATATCGAACTCAGGGGCTTGAGGTTCGAACTCTCGATTGAAACCTGTCAGTACTTCTGAACTCACCCAACAAATAGGATGTTTGCCCCATGTGAATCTCCACCAAGAGTGGATATGTTTAGAATATTTCAATCTCCACCTACACAAACCCCAAGAGCTCGTTTTAGGGAATCCTCTTCGAATGCCAGGGCACCTGCTGCCACCTCAGCTGGGAGCACCTGGCAGCGGCCGCGTGGGCTTCCCACCGCCCCCGCCGCGGGAGGCCTCGCCTCGACGGGGCCCGGGGACCTGTGCTTTTGAATATGCAAGTCATGCACAATAATTACGTCCGCCACCAACCAACCGACCGACCAACCCACCCACCCACCAACCAACCAACCAACCTCAATTGCTTTATACATATTGTATAATATTGGCTAGTATTGAATTTTGCAAGCGCACATGCAAGCTTCAAGCATCTTCCAGCGAAGATCAAACACTGCCCAGGTCATGCCTTGCCACCCCAGCTGAGCTCCGCTGGCATTGGCTGGCCCGGTCGGAGCCCACCGGTCCCCCCTGGGCGGCCCTGCTCACCGCCGAGGAGGGAGAGCTCGTTTTCTTCCCGTGTTTCCTTTTTGTTCATTTAATTGATGACATCATATTCTATCAACTAGCCACATACCGCCTACAGTATTCAAAGCATGGTAATGTTAACGTTCATCGACATTATATCTCATTCACATATAGGGCAAAGGTGGACAGGAGGTGCAGATAGTGGAGAAGCAGAAGGATGTTGAGCAGAAGACTCTTTGAGCTTGTGGAACTCAAAGCATTGTTTTCCTGCAAATCTATGGATCCGGTACCACTTTGGCCACCCACGCATCCCTTGTCTAGTTGGTGTGGTGTAAATGGGAGCGGGTTGTGTAGATGAAGCAACACTGATTGAAAAAAGGAGCAACCAACAGCACGGGAGGACTCCACTGAGCTCCCACCTGCAGTCAAACTCAAAGTATATTGTACATAAATGAGACTTGGTTTTCACTTCTTTTCATGCTCCCTTCCACTTAGCAGCTGAGCAGCTAGTTAGGGAAAGTATACCCCAGGAACCCTCCACCCATTCCCTGCCAGCCCGGAGGCTCCCCTCCCCCGGTGGCTCGCCCACCCGGCGGCCCTCGCCCCCACCGCCGCCGCTGCCGCCGCGCGACCCGTCGCCCCGGCGGGGGCTTCGGTCGCCGGGGCGGCCGAGGGGGTGGCCGGAGGCACCGCGGAATGGGCGCGGGCGCGGAGTGTGAAAAACGGAGTGGTAACGACTGAAAGAAGGAAGGGAAGCCGTATAGAGTCAGAGTCACTCACAGTAGGGTTGAGGAGAGTTAGATGTTATAGATGTTATAGGGGACTTCAGTGATCGCAAGAGATTGATTGCCATTGGTTCAGTTTCATCAACGTTCTTTGTGCATGTTTTTTGCGCCTATACAAGTTCTTGAGACTCGTCATGTGAATTGTAGACTCGTTGTATCTCGTTGGATCAAATTCCTGCTATTATTGGTGGTTCAAGGCAAACCCTTTTCTGACCCTTCACTCGAAGTAAGCCCGGAAGGCCTCTTAAAGGAACACCCCAAAAGCTTCAACCTTGCAGGTGGATCCCTTTGACAAGCGCCCGATTGCGCCAGAGGTGGGGTGGGATCAGATGGAACGCGTTCCGCGCATCGCAAATAAAGAGTGTGTCCGAAAGGACAATGTGGAAGTGGAAAAAGGGTTGTTGGATGTTGTTCAGAAGTCAACTCACCAGCGGAGCACGGAGGAACACAGAAACCAAACTAAATACCAAACGATACGCGGAATCTGACATCCAACTTGTCACACCTTGACAGTCCTGCAACCAAACTGCGATGGGCGAAACCTTTACGCTGCACCGTATCCGGAATGTTTGAACGATCACTTGAACAGTTTCAGCAGGTCACGTATTGTTCATCCTTCCTCCCACCCAGCCCGGCCCCGCCCCTTCGGACGGTGCAGAAGGTCCTCGCGCTCGAGCCGCCCATGGCTGCGGAGCTGCGGCCGCCAAACCGCGAGCTGGGCCCGGCAAGCACGCTGGAGCTGCTGCGGCGGATGCGGAAGGAAGAGACGCTTGGTTCCAGGTCTTTGTGCCGGGGGTGGTGGAAGGGATGGAGACAGGGCGAGCTGGTGAGTGAAGGGGGAGTTCGGGGGTAGAGTTCTTTTTTACCATTTTTCTTTTTGATGGTGACTAATTGTTTTTTTGATGGTGACTAAGTGGTGGAAAGTATATAGGGGTGCGGTGGTGGATGGAGGGTCGACGAAGGGAGGGTCAGCGAATTTGCTTTGTTGGTAAAGTAGCTGTAGCTTCAGCTCTTCATGAGAGCTCTTTGTTCCGTGCCTTTGCAAACCTGTAGTTTCATGTCTTGTCCACCAAAGTCTCGCAGAGAGTTTTGAATGAACATGGGAGTCCAAACAGGATCCAGTACAAACAGACCCTGCCAGTCGACTATAAAGGGTTTCCTCATGTTTCCTCAACAAACCTAAGTGTTCCATTTTGGGGAAGCTTCATTTCGAGTCTAGCATTTCCAAAAAGCACGTATTGAACGACCGCTTGACCGTTTGTTTCTCATCGTTTCGTCATGGCGATTTCTGGAAGCTCCAGTGCGAGCTCGGTTGGTTTTCGACCACCGCCGGCACTCGGTGCGAAGACCGAGGGTCTCGACCAGCATCAGATGGCCTTTCTTGCATTGGATGAATAGAGGGTCCCGGGGAGCTCGTACCGTCGTACCATGCGGAACGGTCGATTCACCGATGGACAGATACCGCGGTATTTACATCTCGTAGCGTTCCTTCTTCCAAGCTCAGGTGCCTCTTCCTGGAGCTCAGTCCCAGCGAGCTTGAGGCGCCGGTCATCATCCCAAACGCTCATCACGCGGAAGAAGATCTCACGGCAGAAGAGACACCGAAAAGGATGGACTGTCGCAGTGAAGATCCAGAGGATTTTTTGGAATTTCAGATGAACCAGGATAGATAGATGTCGATGGGAAAAGAACATGTTTTTTTGAGTTGTTGTGATGTCTCAAGCAAAGCAAGAGAAAAAACACAGATAAAGGCCCTGGACCTGGACATTCAATACCTAGAAAGCAGTTGATGGTGATCTCCAAAGATCCCGGTTCTGCAGGTGCCTTGTCCCTGTGAAAGGGAATGTCCGAAACCAACCAGTATTTTGGGAATCATAGTTCATTCCACAGCCTCCAAGGGTTCTACATTGGCTATGTCTCAGACTAGTGGCAGTCCCGTACTACGGCTTGGTGGTTTACAGTTTACATATACGAATCCTCAATGAGAAGCAGAGGCCTTAGGGGTTTCATCACTTCAGACATCGCGGCGGCACAGGAACTGGCAGAAGTTTCCTCACCGCTCTCCTTCAAGCGGGGGGAGGCGAAGATGAAGCTTTCCCGGTGCCGTGTTTCCGGCGTCAAAAAGAACCTGGCCTGGGACCCATGGGTTGGGAGTCAGTCATATAGCAACTGTCATGTTTTCCCATTGACCCCCTCAAGTCCTCAAAGGGTTCTTGAGAGCTGAGCGAAACAAAACTATTGCAGCTGGATTCTGCTTGGAATGCCTAAGTTTAATTGACTAGAACATACTAGAACCCCCTTGCATGATTTCCCAGAAACTCCTCGGATTCCTTCGTTTCTCCCCGCAGCCAAGCTGTCTGGACCCTAAACGACAGACAGCATGCCTCGCGTGGAAAATCCTTGCAGGTCTTGTTTTCCCGTGGTGAGCCTTGCACTTGGCTCGGCCTCCTTCTTGCTGGCCGTTGCGATGCCTTGTTGCCCACTGCGGGTGGCACTGGTGGTGGTGGGAAAGGAGAGCAGCGGATGGGAGAGCATCGGCCAGGAGAAGCTTGGTGAGTTGGTTCATGTTTTGTGGTGAATCTGATGATTTTTATATACAAACATTTACACCACAGCAGGGTGTTGGAAGAAGATGTTCCGTTTGTGCAGCGTGCGCACATGATGTTGTTTGGGGGTGTTACGTTGGTGTTGAACGTTTTCAGGACACCTTTGGTGATCTTCGGTGACCGAAGGTGACCGAAGACCGAAGGTGTCGTACAGGCCTGTTCCTTTGTCGGAAAAGAAAACCGCAAAACAACAACAGGCTCTCACTTGATGAAGGAGGAGCAAAGAAGCACTCCCTGATAAGAAATTCTGAATTAGCAGTTCAGAAGTCAATGCACTGGTTGTAGACTTGTCATATCTCAGGCATTTTGTGTGTGTGTGTGAATGGTCGGGCCTTATTGCCATCCAATTGGCCAATTATTCTATAATTGTTTGAGTTGCTTCATCGCAAAGCCAAGCCATCGTCGGATGTCAACAAAGCTGACCTGCAGGTCCTTCCTGGTTGTATTCATGGTTGGAAATAGATGGACATAGAACGTTTCTTGGGATGTGTTGAAGGATTTGAAGGTGATTCTTCCATAATCACAAAAAGCTCGAAGACTTGATGGATGATATTTTATCATTGACCCCCTTTCAACCACCCCAACTGGTTGATACATGTTGATACATACTCCACAAAAGATTATCTGCCAAGGGCTGACTGGGGAAGAATCTATTCCAAGTGATCCAAATCCTAATATACTAATTAGTTGGCTGGCCAACATTCCGATCCGACTTGGAAACAATTCACACATCGATGTGAGCTTCGTTCTGCGATGTTCTCGCAGATGGATGGACCAAGGAAATGTTGGGCCTGGCTCGAGTGGCCTTGTGGGAGAAGAGCCATGCAAGGGCGCCACTGGGATCAGCAATGTGGGATATGAAGGAGGGGTGGGCAACACTCGCGAGGTAGGCCGAGATAGGTACTCAAAGAGCTGGTGTTCGTAGTGAATTGCATGAACCACCTCGTATTGGAATCCACTTTTATTTCCAAAAATAATCAAAACTGAGAAGAAACCATCTTTGGGCTTCGACCCACATTGTCACCCCTTTCAACCTTGCCCTTTAGTTTGTCAAGTCGGCTGGACGCCCGCTATACGTCGTGCTGGGTTGTTCAGGTACACCTTGCGCGCGGTGGATGATGGCTGCATTGCAGTGCTCAGCTGCCCGTTATGAGTTTTGGCATGTTTTCGCTGGTGGTTGAGACGTTAATGGACGAACGGGCTGGGAAGGACGTGTAGTTGTTCGGTGTTTTGAGAGCATCCCACAGATCTAGCTGCCAACCTCGTAGGCCCTGGACTATCAAAAGGGTCAAACATGGTCAAGCGGTGGGCTTTTCAGGCTACGACCAGCTGGAAGGCTTGCGACGTGCCCGTCCCGCCTTCCACCATTCGCTGCTGAAGGCGCTGAAAAATATATTGGAACTGCAACCAGATCTGCAGCACCATGTTTGAGAAAGCTGAGGTCCAAAACAGTTGAGTTCCCGTGGTGCTGTGGTTCAGTCACAGTGACTCAGCCAATCTCGAGCCACGGATCGTGCTCATCCGAAGACGTCGACACCACCGATCGAGCCTCCACGGAGAACTGGTCGACGGTACGCCCGAGCCTCCGCGGAGAACCGTGAGGGTGAGACAATACACACATGCGCGCTGCGAGAGTCATCCTTTCAGACTTTCAGAATCTTTCAGATTGATGAGGGTTTGCAACATCGAAAAGCAACTGAAACGAAAACCCCGTGGCTTCGCAACCTCCAAGGGCTTCGAAGTTGGCCGGGATCGGTGTCACCCTCTTCATCGGCCGGGATCGGAAGAACACCTGAAAAACGCTCTCACAGCAGGCCTTGCTCTTACAGCTGGCCGACGCCTGTGGCTGCTTCTTCCGCGGCTGTCCGGTCAGGGGTCCTAACTGTCAGGGTGAAGGTGGGAGGAGGTAGGGACACCAGGTCTTGGGATGTCTTGGGCACAAAGACACCCATGTCCATCGTGTATTTGGGAAGCGCATGACTTGGAATCCGTTGTGCTGGACAAGGGTTTGAATATGTTTGACTGTTGGAGTTAGAGTTACAGTTCCATTTCCCCCCTTTGCCCAGCTAAATGCGCCGCCCGGTCTCCCTTTTCCCATCCTCGTCAGGTCTCCAACCGGCCACAGTTCAGCTTGGCGCCGATGAACGAGCCACAGATCCTGGATTTTCTTTTGCGGCTGCGGGAAGAAGGGACGTTGCTGCCCAATGCTGACTACAATTGCCACTGGGTGATAACATGAGAGAAGACACGAGGGAAGGGAGGCAGGGAGTGGGCAACAAAAGGGGGCTGGATAGTTCAATCACCCATTGAAAACATGGACCACGCCCATGTTGCAATAGGAATAAGGCCCAGCAGTGCATTGGGACCTCGCAAAAATTGATCGGGTCGCCATGCTTACAGATTTGAAGCCCTTCTCTCAGACAGGTCAACACATGCACATCATGGGCTCGAGCCCAACGGATGTTGACGGATTGTTGGACTCTCCCAAGTACAAGCTGCGATAACAACATGAACTTTCGATCATAACAGCATGCAACAGTATGAACAGTATGCAGTCTGCAACACAGTTGCCAGCCCGCCCATGCCACATGCTTCATGTGCCACCGCCAGACCGCCAGACCTCGCACTTCCTCGTCCTTTCCAGGCCTCTTGAGCTTGGCGTGTCGGCTGCGTATCGCCCAGTGGCCGGCCAGAAGCTCCGTCCTCTCCAAGGGAGAGCCCCTCAGCCGCTCGACGACGTCGAAAAGAGAGCAGAGGACGACGGACGTGTCCAATCAGGTGCGACGGCGCCAGCGGTCGCCCAGTTTGGGCGAAGCTTGCCCTCGATCTTCACCCATGGCCCATGACCCTGGAATCTTCAAGTTTGGTCTCAGGCCCCATGGCTCTGTGGGAAACAATGCCAAACTTCCCAACCTCAAAGCCGCGTTCTACAGCCCTGCTTGGTGAAACCTTCCACTTCTTGAACCAAAAAAACGGCAGAGGGATGACTCAAACGTTCGATCGTTGAAGGGGTTGAGCCCCTCCTCCCACCCACCTCCACCCACTCCCCGGGCGGTACTTGAGACCCGCCGCCGCCGCCGCCGTCCGCTTCGGACGGAGAGCGAGCTTTCGCCGTCGAAGAGGTGGCGCCTTGATCCTCTTGGACGGGAAGATGACGGGCTTCCGGGAGGCCGCAGGTGCACCCAGCGTCTTCTTCGCGCCCGGTGATTGCGTCGGCTTGGAGTGGCCTGGCGTGGGAGGAGGGTGAGTAGGAGGGTGGTGGAAGGAGTGAGCATCACTTTTTCAGTGGAGTTCACACTGCCAACGCTTCTGAAGTCTGGAAAGCCTTTAAGGCATGGGCCCATAGAATTATATTACAGACAGAATATACAGAACCCTCAAAGATCATGTTCCACAATTCATCCCAGCCTCGTAACCGTCGCATATCACATATTATCATATCGTATCATATCATATTCATCACATCCAAACCTGCCAAAAACAAGCATGCCTTGGCTTTGCACCCTTCAGCCTTCTTGACCTTCTCGAGGTTCCTCTTGGGTGGCGTTCAAGCATGCCCTTTGGACGTCTTTGCCGCGCGCGCCTGTCTGGCGGCGGTGCTGCGGCGTGACGACCTGGAGGTCGTTGGAACTCGGAGCTAGTTTGGGTTGTTGGGATACTATAAAGACGAGGTGAAGAAGAACCCATGCCTCGTTGGGTTTTGATCTAAGCAGGGAAATCCATAGATGGTTGAAAAATAAACATGTCTCACATCCGTTCTTCTCCAGACATAAGCCTAAGCTTTGAGCTTTGGTTTAGATCGGGTGCCACAAACATGGAGGCTGTCACCGATCGATGTCAGTGACCAAGAACCACATGGGTTCCAGGCAATCTAGGTGGATGGAGGGCCTGTGTAACAGCCCCATGGGCTAGATTACGGCGACATGATGCGGCAAGACGGCGATTTCAGTACATGTTGTGATACTTCAGAGTGTACGTGTGTCCAGGACCATGCGCAGGACCCCCCGTTCGAACATTCTTTGGAAGTACAAACTCACCTCCAAGGCCATCCTTAGGAGGTACCTGGACCATACCTGTACGGAGTTTAAATCGTACAACATCAAAGATCGACAAGGTATGCCTTCTTGTGTGCTTTGAGATGTGTTTTGCTATTGTTATTGTTTTTTTTTTCCATGTTTCAAGTCAGAATGATTATATATAGTTAGCTTGGTGGCATATGCCAGGGCGTTCTGTTTGCGGAATCATGCTAATTGGTCAAACAGACTCTCTCATGCACTGAGACTTGAATGGGGAGCCGCTTTCACTTCATACCATCTCCTTCACGATATGGACATACGCTGGATTCAAGATGAGTGTACATTGAATTTGACCACGTCACATGTGCTGCACGTGGGCTGTGCCGACGCCAGGACCTTCGCAGGGAGAACCCTTCGATGGCCACACAGATCCTCCAGGCGTTTCACGCGAAGCTCTTCGGCGAGCTGTGTGGGCAGCAGCCGCCAGCGCTGCTGGTGATGGCCGAGGCGGGATAAGCGGGGATTGGTCGGATGGTGAACACTGGGTTTTGTGTGTGTGTGGGGTGGGGGGCGTTGAAGTTGAAACAGATGTTAAACGTGTTTTTGTTGGGGAGAGGTGGCGAGGTGGGGGTGGGAGTTGAATGTTGTGACATGCGTGTACTGGATGTTGGATATAATTAGTACCTAGTGGTGTTTGCTGGTTTGGGGCAAGTGTTTTTCATGGCCTCTTCATGCGTCATCCTTTTCTCGCACAGGGTTTGCTACTGGCTCGGGGATTCATGCCGAGGTATTCCACTACCATATACCACGGGCCACAAAAAACCACACAGACATGAACCCTTCCCATTCACTGCTGCGCAGTCTTCAACCCCCACGGCCGCCATAACCCCTCCTTTTTCTTCCTATCATATCTCCATCTGCACTCACCCATCATACCCACCCCACCCCATGGACTCTTCATCTTATACCCCCCTTCTTCCCTTCAAATCCAATGGCACTCCCCACCATCCTCCACCGCCCTCGGCCCACCCACCCCGCCCAGGCCACGGAGAGGCTGCGCTTCGCCAGCACGCAGCGCCCGGCCTTTCCGGCGCCGCTGCGCTTCCCGGGGCATCTGCCGCCGGACGAGGCGAAGCACGCCTTGACGCCCGGCGAGTGCGAGGGAGGGGCGGCGTTGAAGGGGGGGGCTTGCTGTCGAAGAAGGAAAAGTAGGGGGAAAGAGATTGCGAGATTTGGTTGGTTGGTTGGTTCGTTGGTTGCTTGCTTGCTTCCTTGGTTGCTTGGTTGGTTGCTTGCTTGCTTGCTTGCTTGGTTGGTTGGTTGGTTGGTTGGTTGTTTATACTTCTGTAGTCCAGTATTTGGTCCTTTGTTTTGTGGGGGCGTGGACCTTGAGCAGGGTTGAATTGCGAGCGGTTTTCGTGAATCCTTGGATTTGATAGATGCAGCGGGAAGAAGCACCTTGGGATGCCGGTTTTTGGGCAAACGGCTGTAGTGTTATAGAGCAATCATCCACCAGAATTGGACATAAACTGCCGCAACACTTTGAGCCACGGTTTTCAATGATGACTTTGTGCCAGAATATCGCCAGGAGGGATCGACGCTGACACGGCCGTTTGAAAGACGCCATGGTTCACCTCAGAATCTCCAAGAATGCTTTTCACCATCACCACCCACCTCCAAAGAAAACCATTTTTTGAAGAGGACTCCCCCCCGTCTTTAACGAAGGGATCATTGACCACCGACCCTGAGACCAGCCGATCCCGTGCGCCCCTGACGGGCCCTGACGACTGCCGGACCCAAGGGCTCTGGCCGAGCACACAGCCCCAATTCCGCCACTCGGCTTTGCAGAGCGGCTTTGGACACGTCGGGACGGGCGGTGATGGTGATGGAGGGTGAGGGGCGTGGCGCATGACGCGCGAGAATCCAACATGAATCTAGCAGAATCTAGCAATGGTCCCAGGTTCATTCACCTTCTATTTGTTTCCCTATACTTGACCAGTTGCAGTAGACCAATGGTCATAGCGACTGGTCCTTGAGCCGCTCTAGCCTTTGCATCTAGAGAAGTTTCCCTGAAATCTTCGTAGCATTTCATCATGATCCACGTGCCCCTGACCGGGACCGCAAAATGGTGCCTTGCTAAAGTGCTGCACCGGCTCCGGTGGGTGTTTGGATGTGGACTTGTGAGTCCACTCTAGCAAAATGGCGATCAGAGCGTCTTAAGAATCATTTGAGCAAAGGCAAACATGATTGCAATCAGACAGAATAGGTTGATTCTGTGACCTACCCTGACTTGCATTGGGTTATTAGCAGGTAATCGTCACTCGTTTGTACCTGTCAAACCTGCCCCAACACCTCGCAGCTCTGGAACGCCCGCGAAGCCTGAGGCGTTGGGTGGATCCAGAACATAGCCACAAGGTGGGCTCAGGGGTGTCGTGAACCAAATGGGCTCGGGGGGCCGGGGGGGGCTGAGGGAGTCCACGGAACTGCCGACCTTCGCGGATTGCTGTTTTGTCAGATTGATGGCTAATGACAAATGGCCAATAGCCGCCTATTATAATGTAACATATATGTAACATAATAGTTAGTGCCATAATCATATTGTGTTGATTCCTGCAAAGTCCAGATTCCAGGTGCCTAAAGGGCAACACCAGTTCAAATGCATTCCCTGGTGTGTTTGGGACCTTTAAGATGATTGTCCAATAAACAGCATGACTATGCAAAGGACAACAGCCCCTGGAAAAAAAGGTCGCATATTGGTGGCATTTGCTCGGGCTTTGAAGCGCTTTTTTAGGACAGATGAGGACAGGTCGCTGGTCCTTGAATGATAATTGCATACCTGGACCTTCCAATAGGGATGTCCAATGTCGATCCATAACTAGTGTAGGGGCTTCCATTGGTGACCCTTTGGAAGGTGCTGGTAATGATTTCTATGAGCCCAGCTTCTGAAACAAGTGACCGAACCTGAGGGAGAGAAGAGAACCCGTGACCAGAGAGACTGGCCTGAGATCCCGAACCCACCGGGATCTCAGTCCGGGTCACTTTTGAAGAGCCAGGGACTTAAGATCTATATTAGCTTCTATGGCAGGGTTCATGTTGGCTTCCGCTTCCTGGACATGAGCATCGCGAGGACAACTAAAAACGGGGTGACGACATGGAGATTCCTCTCCCAGCTCCCCATCCCCATCCATCCCCCAACGCGGTGCATGGTCAGGCTTTTATTCCTTTAGTAGACACATGACATGCCGTCTACACCAGGGTGTCCCTCGGTGTCCTGAGAAATTTCGCTGTTGCCCTGGAATGCTTTTGGAATTCTTTTGATGCGCCATAGCAGCAACAGACCAGACCAAACGAGCCTAGAAGGCTGGTGAACATGGAGCTTCTCACCCGACAGGAAGTCTTGGCACCTGCGGCCAGGTCTTGGAGGGACAAGCGGCCAGAGATGAAGCTGCGATGCGGCGCCATGCCTTGATTTGGGGAATTTTCAGTGGATGTCATCCATCCATCCATCCATCCATCTATCCATCCATCCATCCATCCATCCATCGGAACTGGTTCCGCACCCGGTAAAGCGCCGGTTCCGCTTCATTTCTCATCGATTCATCGGACGGACGGACTCCGGGACTCCGTGTGGGACCGTGGACGGACGGTGTGCCCGTTCGCTGTGTGAATCCTCGGCCGAGCTGGATGAAGGGTACCGGGGATGTGCGACAGATGTGCAGAGTCGGACCGACCGGTTTTCGGAGCCAGGAGTGGTTTTGGGACACAGTCTCAGCATGTCTCAGCAGGGTGTGAAACGTTCGCTGGTCAGTCATCAGTCCATCAGCATCAAAAAGAGTTTAGTCCCAAAATGTGAAGAATAAGTCTGGCTAAGTTTGTGCCTACCAAAGACAGGACATGGTATTGTGCAAAAGAACACTGAAGCTTGGTCATCCCTAAGTATCAAAGTCAAGTTGAATTGACTGTCAGACTCATTTGCATAGGGTTTAGCAATGTTTATCAGTTTATCATATGCAAACCTGGGTCAGACCCCCTGTGGTCGACGATTCGATCGTTGGGAGTGCGCATCCATGATGTCATTGTTGCTGAACTCATCCATCCTATCCATCCTCAGGCGCTTCCTCTCAGACCCCCATGGATTGACGGCTTCATGGGCAGATCAGGATCAGCAGATCGTGCTTTTGGAGGGATTTTCGGGGAGTGGTGACTCGCCAAACGCCCAAGCGGTTTATTTTCTCGCACACGCCAGATAACGGAGTGTTTATTCAAACGCCACATGACAGAGACCGCATTTTTGCTCTTGACCAAGGTGGTTTAGATGCTTGAGTACCACGGTATCATTCAAACTTCTAGGCGGTAGTTGTTGATGCCCCAAAGAAGGATTTTTGTTTGGAGAGTCAAAGCTGGAGATGCTTCTTGAGTTTCATGGTAAGACGCCCAAAAACACTCAACCGATTCCAGAGGTTAAGGTTGTGTTTTCTGTGTGCATCAGCTGCGATCTGTTTGTGGTTGTTTGATGTCTCGCTAGAACTGATTTTCAGGAAAGAAACTGCATGTTGCAAACAGTTCTCTCAACACGCAGGCCTAAACTGACTTTTTGTGACAATCGATCAATCACTGCTACCGAAGCAGAGCAGAAATTGTACGTCAACATTTGGGGCATATGCTCGAGCTTCGGAGCTTCAGTTCCAAACATGCATACATTGTGGGATGTCTTCATGTCTTCCATGAAAATGCTTCGGTTCGGATTCCGAACGCCAACGCCCCGGTCTCAAACAGTCGTTCAGCGCGCCCGAACCGCAGGAACCCGGCAAGGCGGAATGGCTTTTGGGCTCCTTCTTAACGAAGAAGCTGGTGGCCGGGGACGCCACGGGCACTGGGACCATGGAGTCGGTTCAGCACGGTGAAGTCAAGAGCAGTCCGATTCCTCCCAGGCACGTTCGACGGGGTGGTTTTGGTTGTCCGTTTAGGTGAGTGGATGTGACAGGAGCAGCCCCGACTACCTCGGATCGCACCCCGTCGAACGTGACTGGGCTTTGGATCTAAGGATCCCAGCGGTGAGATCGAAACACTTCAGCTGGAGCTGTCATTGGTGTTCGGATCTTTGCTAGACAGGCTCGCCAGCCAACACGAAACTACTTACAGCCACATGTTTCTATATAACCTCATGTTGTATCGGTACTCCAGTATGTTCTTAGCAATCACGTGGAGGTTCTGGAGGTCCTGGAAGCTAAATCATTGGGCAAGACCTGGACTGGGCAGTAGATAGCCGCTATTCCCTGGCCTTGCAAGACGGCTGAAGGAAAGGTTGACGGGTCTGGTGATTTCATGTGATTCATATGTCCAGCATCATCAATCAATGGTGCTTGCAATCCAGAGGGGTAAACTAATCCAAAAAAAACACGTCAATTATCAAAGCTAGCACTTGTGATCTAGGATATATGCACTGATATCCGCTGATCAAAAAAGAGAAACTGCTGTATTTCATGTTGCTGTTCCAAACTTGACATCGCCATACTATCTCTGGGCATGCCCTCCATGTACCTCCGGTGTTGCCTTCCGCAGTTTCACTGCACAGGATGGCCAACTCAGAGGCCCTCAAGGCCGTGCCGCTGCTCGGGAGGCGAGGCGAGTCACCCCCGAGTCGAGCCACTGACTGGGTGACGCGGGGAGGGAAGACATTGGTTGAGCACTTTGAGATGTCATGGGTTTGAGTTTGAGATGTCTCTTTAAGTTTTTTGTTTTTTTCTTCCACCTTTTTTTGTTTGCAAGTGAATGTTGTCTCTCGCAGTTTTTTTGATAAATCCCTTCGGCAGGGCTACGAGTCGTATGATTCCTTCCATGTATTTGGGAGCTGGACCTGTTATCATACTGAGGAAACGCTGAGTCTAGGGCGGTGTTTTGCCCCATTTGCTCCCAGATTGCTGAGTTCATGGTGGACCGTCTCTAGTGGGTAGGTGAACAAAAATTGATCAAAAGCTCATGGAAAGGATTCAAACACGGGGATCACGGTCATCCTGTGGACCAACGCGTTGAAACAACATTTGGACCATGCTCATGGAAACACCTGCTGTGCTGCAAATCTGCTTGGTGCTTCAGGTGTATAGGGGTGTCTTAGCATGTTGAACCCCCCCAGCCAGACCCCTGCCAACATTCATTGACCAAGCAACCAACTGAAAATGGACCAGCGCGATCTCCTTCTTCCAATCCGACATGCAGATGGGTCTTCCATCCCTTCCGTCCCTCCAATCCCAATTTACAAATCAGTTGAGCCTTCGCACGTTCTGCGGTCCGAAGCCAGGCTGCAGCTGGTGCCGTGGCATTTGACCAGGCCGCGTGGGATGCACTGCAATTTGGGCAATGGATGGCGATGGGAAGGATGGAAGGACATGAGAGGACCCAGGCGATTGGAGGCTTTTCGGATGTTTATGTTCAGCCAAAGGTGGGAACGGAACAGGGGAACTCTTTGGATGTCTTGCTCTTGCAGACTTGGTGTGGCTGTGGGTGAAAACCTGGTTCAATAATCCTTGGTCTGGTAGTCTATCCTTTTCATTTTTGATGGTCAACCTAGGTGCCCCTGGTTTCTACCGGTTCCGGTCCTGGATCTTTGTATATGAGAGCTGCAAGAGGCCGCACACATCACTGTTTTTGGTCGGGTTTCAATTTGGAAGGTTAAGCCTGTTGACTCTGAAGGGGAAGTGTCCATTTCAAGAATCAAGAGTTGATTCACAGACAGACTGATAGACTGTAGCAAGTATTGTACCAATAATGCATCGAAGTCTATATATGCAACTGATTTATGCTGTTGCTTTGCAATTTCGCCGGCTGGCAAAACGGCACGCCAAGGCCCATAACAACACCACAGTCCTGTACCAGTCCCATGGAGAGGAACCATTTCGATCCATTTGGTGTGACGAGGGGTGCCGGGTTGTCCAAATCCGCCATCTACTCAGAATTTACGAGAGATCCATTCGTGTGGGCGGGTCCCTTCAAAGGCCGAATGTCTTAGGGCTGGCACCTCATCCCAAAAGAAACGGAACGGGTCGTCGCGCAGGCTGAACCCAGCTGTGGTTGTCTACTACGGCTTTACAGTGTCATTCTCTTGGGGCCTTTTTTTGAGGTAAATCGCAGTGGTTAGACATGTCAGATGAGTGCCTCTTTTGTGCGAACAAATCTGGGCTCCACAAAGTTCATCGAACAGGTTTGAGGCGATTGACCACAGGTGTTCCGCGTCCGTTTGCAAAAAACAGCCAATCCTTGAAATCCTAAACTAACGAAGACAATTTTTAACGAAGTGAGGATCAACCAGGATTGTTTAGGCTTTGCTGTGGTATGCCAGGCGCAGAGAGAAAGCATGAGGCAGAGTGGGTGACCTGGCAGGGTTGTTGATGGTCCGATCATGTCCGATCAAGCTTTAACTGAGTTTCTACTAATGGCCAAATGCGCATGAGAGGATCAGATTGCCTTTGGTTATCAGCTATCAGCAAAGTTATGGGTTTTCTACCCAATTTTACCTCCCCGACTTGCCTATTTGATCCTTTTCGATCTTTCTTCAGAGTCCGAAGAAGCTTCCAGTGGACCACTCTTCTTGCACGATAGAAACTAAGGATCTTCTTCTTTGTACAGGTGCTCAAACTTCAGCACTGGTTTCCCTTAATTAATATACCTTACCTGCCTTTTTGTGCGTGTAACCGTCCACACAGGCTCTCCCTGCCGCCACCCCCTCCTTTGCTGCAGGTTGCGAAGCCCGCGCTCTCCGACAGCCGCTGAGATGAGGCCACCGAGGAATGTGCAAGGAAGATGATCCTTCGTTGAGGTGGGTTCCAGATAAACCCTTAGGCAAGATCAGGAAAGTAGATTTAACATGATTTCACTACGCCGTACCCATTATTGGTTTGGGTTCCACACTGAATTTGGCTTCCAGATGGTTCCAGAACTTTCCGAATGTAGGGTTCGAGATCGTTTATCAGTTAGCTTCGTGGATTGGAAGCTGGAGGTATGCTAAATCAATGATGCATCGTATCTGTATTTCCTGCGGAACTTCACATGAGGTGCACCATGGTGCATCTATATATGGACATGAGACATTTGGAAAGTACTGTACGATTGAATAGCGATTTTCGTCGCGTGGCTTCCGAAGCCCAGACGGGCGACTTCTTCGCGGGTGGGGTGTGAGGCGTTCTCGGGAGGCCACGGCGCCGGGGAGCTCGGGGCGAGGCAAAAGGGTTTGTTTGTTGAAAGAAAAAGAAGACGTTTTCTGAAGTGTTAGAGATGATTTTCGTATTTGTTGTATATGTTTGATTTTGCGTGATTATTCTCAAAAACATATCAGCAAATTGATTGTTTGTTTGCGAGTCGACATTGTCATTGTCCTGCAGATGTTTTGGAGATCATGTTCGTCAAATATGCTTTTTTTTTTCAATGGACCAGACACCCATTCGCAGGAAAGACGCAGTGTTACATGTTTTGATGAGGTATGTGTCCCTTGGTCAAAACAACTGGGGTGAATTGAGTGTCTCTGGGGCTCAGTTTGAAACAATCTTTTATACCATTTTGTACCAACCTTGGCGGAGTCCTTGTACCCCATGGCACTATTGGCCAGACATTAACTAATCAATCCAGATTCCCTTCCGCTTCTGCAATACAAGGAGAAACACTGTTCTTGTCCTTCCTTTGATTCTTGCTGCTGTGTCGTTTTCTTTTTGTTATGTTTGTTATCGTTACTTCTTCTTGCGATTCTGGTCATTCTTCTTATTTGTTCATCATTTTCATCATCATCATCATCATCATCATCATCATCTTATTCTTCTTCTCGCCTTTCTTGTACATTCCTTCTGTTGTTGTTCTGATTTGTTTGACTGTTGTTCAGCTCGTCTTCTGATTTCGTTTGTCAATTCTTGGTCTCCAAACCCATCCGGACGCCCGTCTTGAGGTCACCTCCTCGCTCACCGCGCGCCCATTGGAAGGTGTCGGGATCGGCTTGGTCGACGAAGCGTTCGGAAGAGCTGGGAGGTGCTTGGGGAGGTCGATATGGTCGATTCACGCTCAAACATGGAGAAACCATGGTTTTTTCCCAGGGTTTGTCTCGTCAAAGCTTGGGAGCTCGGAATACTTTTTGGATTGCAGCATCAAGACCACATGGACGGTGCAGGGCAGGGCTGGGTTTCGTGGTTCAATGGACCCAGAAAATGGAAGTATCTATGCCATGCCAGTTTGATGCCTTTCACTGTCCTTTTCAATCAGCAAGCATCTAATAAGAAACTAGCATCACTTGTCGTCACCTCTTGCGGTGCAAGGAACAATTTGTGCAAACGGCCAATGGCACCAGTCCATAAGATTGATCTTGATTCGGGTGTGTAGTGGGCGAATGGGCGAATCATCCGCCTGACCCAAGGGGTGATCGTTGAAATGTGTTCTTCCAAGACGGTCCAAATGGGAGCGTGAGCCTATTTCAATACCTATCTTCATCTATCTTCCCTCTCTTCTTGAAAAACTGGTGGCAGACAAGTCTTCTGAGCCTTGCAGGAGGCAGGTTTGGCTGCCACCCGCGCGCGGCCGGGCTTGACGCCGCCCGTCGGGAGAATCTGGCTGGGCTGCGGCTGTGTTCTGAAAGGCTGAACACGAAACGATTGCACATTCTAAAGAATGGCCGGGATATTTAGCCAACGGCGGAGGATGTGACTCTCGGGTGGAGGGTGGGCCATACCTATTGCCTTGCTTGTTGCATCCCTCACCCAACTACATAATAAGCAATTAATAACAAATAGATTGTCTCTATATTGTTTTGTGTTTTTTGATATATATATGCTAATCATATCATATATTATGCAATATGATGTGCATAATCACATGTGTGATTCCGTACACTCACCTCTAGTTCCATGCTTTCCTTCCCACGCGTTCACCACCGAGGCGTTCCCGCTCAGCGCCGCCGTTGCGGGCCTCTGCAGCGCAGTGGCCCAAGAAGATGCCAGGCCCGCGACTCGGTCGGCCGATCGGACCATGGGGACCCGCGAGCCCGGACTGGGTGGTGTGAGAGACTGGATGCTTGGTAAGTCGAAAAGATGGACATGACCCAGGATACCTTAGGATACCTCAGGATCACTTTCGAAACATAAGCACTCGATCAATCAGCTTTTTTTGGGGGGTGCAGGGGATGAGTTTCTTTTGGGGAAGCTTGCAGAAGGTCTTTAGATGTCTTTTGTGGTTGGGGAGAGTCGTAAGCAAAGGGGGGATGTGCAGAATGGTGATGTTGTTTTTTTCTGTGCAACTGAACACAATACCTGAAAAACTCCAATTGATCATTGCAGGGTGTGCGTATATTTATGTATTTGCAGCGCCCACGAAGTGGTTAGTTAGTGGATGTTAGTGGACACCCCTTAACCACTGTTTGGCGCAACTACTGTAATGGAATACTCATAGACACCCCAAACAGTGTCCCTATAGTATAGGTTGACTTTTGGGGGTAGGTCATGTGAATTTGTTCGAGTATGCGAACTGAGAGGTCCAGGCACTGTTTTCCACTGCTTATTGCATTGGCTTTCCGCTTGGTCTCAGCTCTCCGAGCAACCCTTTTTCTTCCAGGTGCAGAGCAAGGTATCATGGAGTTGCTGAGTGTGGTGCCTAAGGTTGCTGAGTGGTGGAGGGCATCGAAGGGAGGCATCTATACTGTAATACTGTAGTGGTGTTCAAAGATCTTGATATCCTGGGGTGCCTCACTATCGACATTTTCTTTGGTTGATCATTCCATCGTTTTGTTTCTGATGTGCTTCCATGAAGTTACAAAAGACTGATGATTGGAGAGTTCACGTAGCCTGTATTGATGTTCAGGAAGCTCTTCAAACGATCATCACTATATATACTATACAGCATACTGTGTCGAACAGTTTTGTTAAAACAAATTGAGAATTTGCTCATATGTTTTTGTGTTGAACCACAGCAACAGATTAAAATTCAGCGTCATTTGGAATTCGTTGGTTACAATCACGAATTTGCGGCCGCCAAAGCTCAAGACTGAACCGCCACAGCTTCGATTTCGACGTTTGGCCATGCGATGAAAAGGACTTGGATCGCTCCTTGTTTGCTTGAGATGGAAGCGGGTTTAAGGTTAGATGGCACAGAAATATATAAAAGTTTGAGGATCATGTAGATCAACCTCATTATAAACCAGCTCTTGGATTTTTGCGCCTCCCACAAAGCTTTGCAACTAGTGCTGAGTTTGGACCACCCTGCCTGTAACCAGGTGACTGTTGGAGAGGGTTTTTGGGTCCGGACCCCGGAGGCTCCAAGAATGGGGCCGAACGGCCGGGTTCATCGTTGGTGCCAATGAACCCCTAACGGCCCTAATGGGTTCAACTCCATGAATAGACCTTTCTTGAGAGACGGAACATACGAACACCTTATTGGGTTTTGGTGGGTGCCAACGACTCTGAGTTACATGATTAGACAGGCACAGGACTTAATTTGGTGGGTTTCAGATGGTTTGATGCTCAGGGGACTCTGGAGATCCATGATCTTTCTGAAGCTTTCTAAATGTGGGATGGATCACATGCAAGGGGTAGGTGCCTAGGCGCACCCAATGAGGCCTGCTGCCTGCTCTTGGCTGCGACTGACGCAACTGGCGAATGCAGCACTGATGGAAGCTGCGTTGGTGCCCTGCTTTGTGACACAGGAGTGACGGTCCTGTGAGCCTGTAATTGCACAGAAGCAATCAATCCAAATGCCCCAACATAGGAATGCATTTGACAGAGGAGCTCGATCTATATGTACTATATGTCATATAAGACATCCATGTTTATTTTTAATTTTTTTGTTAATGTCCTTTCTACAAGTTTTGCCTATTCCAACTACTGTATATATTGTTATATTTATGTAGCAGAAACAAGTCGTGGGAGCTTCAACACACCGGCGCTGTCGGTCGTTTCGGCCAGTTTCGGCACAGACATGTGCCAAATACCGGAGTCGGAGTAACAACTGTGTATAGTCATCATGCAGCCTGTAGACTGTATAGACTTGTTTTTGTGTTTCCTGGCGAAACACTGTAGGAATGCGTGTGACTGCATGTTCGTTTGGTAGTTGGTTTTTGCAGTCCGCATGCCAGTCAAGCATCCAGTCATTTGGACCATTTCCCGTTTAGTAGGCCACCCGATTTTTGGTACTTTGGTGTCAGTCTCCAAATAATGCGGACTTTGGACAGTGCAGCAAAGCAACCATGTTGTGGTCAAGGACATGCTGGCCCTCCATATCCTTTCATCTATCGAATCTATCGCCCATTGCTCAACTGCTGGATATTGATCCGTTTTCCTGATTGTGATGGCGATATATAGTCCAACCAGAACACATAATGCTTCCTAGTCAGACTTGCTTTCTTTTGCGGTAAACAGATTTGTGTTCGCATGTCAAATACCACGTGTTTCCAGACTATACATTTGCAAGTCTTGCCGACTGGTCTATACTCATCAAAGCGTATTAATGCATCTCAAGATGCAATCAAAGTGACCTAGCCAGGCTAGTCAATTTGCATGTTATTGCTTGAACCTGATCCTGTCATGATGGGGTCATGCATGTGTTTACTTTACGACGCAGGCACAACCCCATGTCTCACCAGCGGACCTAAGGCAATTCCAGTGACGAGGTACCATCCGACTGTTTTGGGGTGTGACGAGTGGCGAGGTGTCACGAGCGGTTGTGCACTGCTTGCTGGATGACTCATGTTCCACCTGTGTGACATATCCTCTGTAATGTCATCTCATAGCGAAGCATGTCATCCCAGCTTTGCAATGCTGCTTGTTGATTGGCATAACAAGACGGCAGACATCGCAAGACACCGGCAGATTCTACTGTCACCTAGCAGTTCGTCCATGATATAATCACAGATACGGTACTCAAATGTACTCAATGTCCGACCAATTTGCCCATCGAAGTCTCCAATTGCACCATTGTTTGACCGGGACTCTCAGGGCGGCTTTGTACTCGTAGCTTGTGTCAGATGTGGGGATAGAACTGAACCCAGTAGCTTGGTGCGCTGAAGCGTTGATCCTTTCCGAAAGAGATCCCTTTTTGTTTGAAAGGTAGTTGAGAGCTTTTCAACGTCTGCCCAGACGCGACCCTGGGCCCTCATATGGAGGGGTCGGACCCGAATCCTCTGCAGGGGTCTGGGGTCTCAAAAGGTGGTGTTTGAGGGACCAGTCGGGCGTCGTTCACGGAGCGTGGGAGCGTGGGACGACGGGTCTGGGAGTCCATCGTGCTTTGGAGTCCTCCCCCGCTGAGTCGAAGCAACTGGCAGGCAGGACTCATCCAGTTCCTTCCGGGCCAGTCCGAATTCCTGAAGGCGCCGCGCACCACACGGCCGCTCGATGCGGCAGACGGTGGCAGACGATGCGGTGAGCGGCATGCGGGGAAGGGCAAGCAGCTGTGGTGTAATACGTTGGATGGCACCCCCTGCGGTTGGTGGCCAAAATGGATCGGAGAAACCCATGTTTTGACATGTTTTGACACCATTCTGTTCAGGACACACTCCTCTTTAGCAGACCATTTGGGGAGAATAATCATATTCGCTTAGACAATTGAACACCTCCATAATTGGACCCTCCAAGACGATTTCATCGAGCGTACAGCTGCTCGTTTTTACTCGGTTCTCTCTTTAACGTCTGGGTTGCATAGCAGGCCTTTATATCCAGCTCCATCGCGTTTGCGTACCAGACTCCTCCGCCACCGAGGATCCACCGCGGCGTGACGCGCGGCGCGTATCACGCGGCGAAGATCTTCGACTCCGCAGGCGTCGCCGGGTGCGCCACCCGTGCGGAGGCGTAGGAGACGTACGCCAGGGAGGTGAAGGTCTGAACGGATGGGTGAGGCAGGTCCCTTAGGACAGGGCGGCCGGTCCGCCTTTTCAATCCTATGAAATCCTCAGAAAGCCTCACCAAGGTTTGGATGAGTCAATCACGACTTTAATGCTTGTATCTCATGAAGATACCTTTGAATCTTTGAATATAAGACTCCAGGACACTCATCATCCACGTTCTTGCCGATTCCAATGACCTGTTCGTTTGGGCTGGGCCGTGCTGATTGATGTTCCGCAGATGTCGATCATAGACTCTGGCAGGCTCTCTGGGTGATGTCACGGGATTCTCAGCACACGGGAGCGAGCTGAATGTGAGTTGTGACCTGGTTGAACTTGGAATCACCTGTTGGCACCAAAGGCGAGAAACGCTCTTAGGTTGGAGGCCATCGCTACTAGGGTGGAGGCCATCGCTCCTTTATAGGTACGGTATTGTTATTCAAGAGCAACTTGTTGAAGAGCTCTGGGTGTTATCAGCCGGAATCAAGAAGGAACCGTCTTGCCGCTTGCCTACAATTTTATGTCAACAAGTCGACAGGGATGTTTGTCACTTTCAGTTGCCAGAGCGTATGGTCACGTATGGTGAGGGTCCTGGACCACTGGAGGTTCGATCCCGTCAAAGCACGTGCTGACGAGGTCGCTGGCAAGACAGGACTGTCTCCTTGGTCAAACAAGACTGGAAAGTAGAGTCTTGTATACCCTCTGTGGCACACTTTTCCAGTACCTTTGACGTTTACCTACTTACCACCATGTCTCCTTTCTGGAAGTAACTTTGTTTCACCTGAGATCCAGCAGAACATGTGAGACGGAAGGGTCCAGTGCCAAGAGCTCTCGAGCGCAAGAATGCTTACAAGCACTCATATGTAGGGAGCAGTTTCATGGGCATTTCGCCCAGACCATCCATGTATGGCCCGGCCTATCTATATATCGACATTGGGGTGATTTCAGGGATCAACGTACGCATACATTCCTGAGTATCAGACGAGTTTGACACACAGGTCACCGAACACCGAATCGCTGCTTTTTTTCCTCGATCTTTCTGCATCAAAGACCTCGGTGATGCAGTGATCATACACACACAGGTCACCGAACACCTTCGCTGCTTTCGATTCGACGTGCATCCAATACCTTCCCCCAGTAGCATCACTACATCACTGACCAGCTTGGATCGGCCCCTTCGATCACTGTGATCACCGAGGTGGAAAGGCCTTGGTGAGCTTGACCTTCATCTCTGACGCTGGGACTGGATGGAATATTATGGAATCCATGCATATACATCAGATGTTGGTAGGTGATGTTGATGTTGGGAGGGAGGAAAGACCCTCAACATATCACTTAATATCAACTTTAATTGATGTTACTTCGAGTACCTGTAGCTTTAGACACCTGAAGCCTCCTGAATTCCAGAGCGGTTGCTGTATTTCTTGTTTATTCCTTAGACCTTCATCGACCAGATCATCTCAGGAAGGTACCTTGCGCCTGCGCCTCAGCGTCCATGGAGACCACTTCCCAGGGCCTGACGATGGGGAGATCGTGACGATGCCGAAACATGGAGATCGTCCCAGCGCGCACTTCGCCGCTTGGGATGAAACGCCGCTTGAAGATGTTCGATTTGTTGTCCTCCACGCAAGTCCAGGAAAATTATACAGAGTCCATGGGGATTCTGGAGCTGAAATGGGGTGATTCTGGCAATTCGATTCTGGGGAGTTAGATATGTATATGTCAATTTGGTGGTTTGGGAGGGTCAGTCAGGGTGGAGTGGAGTTGCTGCTCTTCCCTTCCAAGTTCGTGTTTGGTCCGCTTCTGCAACTTTCTGCACCGACTTGGGCTCTATCAGCCTCAACCAGCTACCGTGACCTCAGCTACCTCCCCAACCCCTGGCGCACATTCGAAGACATCCCATCCCATCCGAACAGAATCGCCCGAGGTGAAGAGTTCCAGCGGCTTCACCTTCCATTCCGGCGCCTTGCGCGTGACGGGATCCTTAAAGCCCTTGAAGCTCCAATTGCATCAGGGTGACAGGTTGCTCTGGAGCGAAGAGAGGCCCATGAGCTGGATGCTGGACTGAAGACAGGTGGAGGGGGGATGGTTGGGGTGAAGGCGGTGAAGGGCTACAATTTGTGGCGGGCGGGAAGATTCTACTACAAAAGAGGCGGAAACTCGAGCTTGACTGGGTTAGAGATCCTTTATCTTCAACTGAGCGAAGGACGGAGTTTGGATGTTACGTTCTTGGGGTGCTGCCAGAGGCCAGAGGTGACATTTTTTGGGTTGTTAGCACCTTGACCTGCCACCTTGTTTTTTTCCACAAGCTCCAAGGCATTGCTGTGGTGGTCAGGTTGGAACAAGGTTCAGCATGCGGGGCTCAGGCTCAACTCATTAGATGGTCTTAGGGACCAGCATGGCGACTTCGGGAAGATGCTTGCTGACCCTTCCAATACACAGGGGGTGGGTTATCCTCTTTTGATTGTCTCATTATGGTTTGCGAGTGGGGCTCAGTGGTGACTGGTGGGCACACTAAACCTTCCTTCGGGTCACCTTGGCCCAAAGCTGTGGTTCGGTAAACTGCTCTCCCGAAGCCTGGGTCCCAAAAACCCACTGAGGATGGCAAATCTGACACCTCACCTAAAGAAGACATGGCAACTGAAAGACCATGAAGAAAATCGTTGATCCAGGACCTGTTACCGCACCTTTGGAATCAACACCTGGGTTTTAAACAAGAAGGAAACACCTTTCAACTCCACAGCTCAACTCCACATGGAGCAGCGGAACCCTTGGAGCTGGGCGTCTACAAGTTGCTTTTTTCTCGCCATCTGAGGAACACCACCAGCACTTGGCAAAGCTTCACCGAGCTGAGCGCAACCGGACGCTTCTACGGGGGAGGCATGCAGAACGGCTACTCCTACGACCATACGGGGCGTTTGGTGATCATCCAAGAGCCAGGTGCTTGGGCCTAAAACGAGACAAATGCTTTAGCTAGACAAGTGACTAGAAGTAATTACTAAAGAATTCCTTCAACAACGTACATGACATTATATGAAGTCACACAAACATGATGAGCACAACTTCATGAAGACTCTTCATGAATAACTTATAACCCCCCATTTGGATTGTAAAACCACACCACTTGGTTTCATTATGTTTTATGACTAAGATTAAACATTAACGAGAAGGCCCCGTGAAAGCCTGTGAAGTTTATTCATTAATTCATTGAAGTGGGGGGCCTTTGAGCCATCCTTACTGATCTTACTGTAACACACTTGGGAGTCTATCCATCGTGCTCAAGAAACAGACAGAAACATTGATAGCCAAAGTGACATGATGATACATGAGGTTCAAGTGGTTGAGTTTCTCCATGTTTCTCCCCACGTGTGAATTCAATTGTTCAATTTTGTGTCAGGAGATGACGATGGCTGGGACGCTGGAGCACGGGCGAACCCTGTGCCCTTCTTCATGTCCTCCACAGCACTGGGCTCAGACCATCAAATAAAAAAATGGGAAATTGGTCCAAGGGTTTGGCTGTGGGAGGGACCATTAGTTTTTTGCTGTGTGCGTTTCTGTTCAACAAATCCTCTCTGGTGGGCAGAACGAACCTCATCATATCAAATGCAGTGGCTTGAGATGGTTCGGAGTAGAGACTCCCACTTGTCTAAGACATTTAAGGGTTTGTGGCATCTACGCTGAATCCTGTGGGATTCATGAGTTCAAGTCGCTCGATATGTTCCCAACAAAAGCTGCCGCAGGGCTATGGCTGCCTTCGGAACACCTTCATGCCTGGCAATTACAACTTCTCCTCGCCGGTGTCTCGGCTTGGTTTTTTCATGTTGAAAAGGGTCTGGATGTAGGAAGCCTTATGTTGAGGCACATCTATTTGCCGATGACCACATGTTGAGGGAAGCAGAAGTGCCATCCATGAATTGGATTCCACGTCATCAGATCTACGCCAAGCAATCTGTTTCTGTTTTTGCATGGGCGTCCATGGGGTAGCTCTCATGATGTCTCGTGGATGAATTATGTTTGTTTCAGATCGTCCCGGGTGGGGGAAAGGCATTTCTGTCTCATCCATTACTGTATTTCATCTACCAGGACCCTCCAAGGGTGCCCTGTGTGGAAGCCTATAGGTAGTGTGGGGTAGTCCAGCCAGGACATCCCGAAGGTCGGAGGGTCCAGGTATGTTCACATATTTCAGATTACGTCTCAGATCTCTTACCACTTCAGCTGTACATCACTTAAGGGTCCCTTTTCTCGCCGGGCCGGGGCAGCGACGGCCGTTTCGCGAGGCCACGTTTTCACACGATGAGAAAGGCCTGGATGCCTTTTACTTCGTGGGGTGCCTTTACTGAGAAAAGATTCGCGTCGGAACGATCGAATTGGATGGAAGAGAGAGATGAACGAGATGGGTGAGGGAGTTGATACTGGGTGAGGGAATTTATTGGATTGCCGTTTTGTTGTCCTCGTTTCTCTCAACTCCTTCACCCAGTCCCCATAGCACGTGGACATCCCGAACATATTTTGACCCGGGTCTCTGGCCCAGGGTGCTTGGGTGCCATGACAGTCACAGTCATATGAAGAGATGGAACTTGGGCGCATTGTTTGGCATGTCATGGTTTTGGACTTGTCTGGTGATTTGATTGAGGATGAAACGAACATAATTATTCTGGTAGTCATGGTTTTGGTTGTCTTGCTGGTGCTTGATTGAGGATGACGAACGTTCACAGAATTCTTGTGGATTAGGTGCCAGACGGAGGTGGCATTTGCTCTCCTTGCAAACTAAAAGTGGGGACTCCATACAGTGTGGTGTCAAACGGAAGCTCTTTCCAGCGCGGAACATTCAACCCCCAGGAGTCACAAGACGGGGTGGTTTTTGTTGTCCCCAAGTGAGTGGATGTTTTGAGCACCCCTTTGTGACTCCTAGCCTGGATATGTTGGATTTGGAAAGCCCTCGACCTGAAAGAATTGGTTCTTCGCCGAGCCGCTCAGCTTGAACATCGTGCGTCCCCGAAGAACACACGAGTCACAACGGCACTATGTCTCAATGAACCCACCCTGTTGATCTGTGAATCGGTCATGCTTGCTGTCATTTGGGTGGCCAATATGTTTGAGCCACGTCCACAAAAAGGAACTTGGAAGAGGATGTTCCTCCCCTGCAATCAGCAACCACCACGTGCCTTGACCACTGTTGTGATAGGGTCGGCTTTTCGATGAATTTGGGGGGTCGTCAGCCCCAAGTGATTCTCACACTACTTGTTGGACCATGAAGTTCCGCAAAAATTGAGAAAGTCACATTGGTGCGTCCCATTCACGGAAACCTTTAGCTGGTTGTTTCCCTTCAGCTGGTCTGCCTTGCGCCGCCTTGCGCTGCATTGCGCCGAGGTCGATGAAGGAGATCTTAAGGCGGTACACCAAGTTGGCAGGAAAGCCCTTCCTACCACCCACCTGGGGGTTCCCTGGCTGTCAGGGTCTAAGTTCTTGCGGCTCTCGGTGCGAGCACGAGCGGGCGCCCCAAATCGAGGGATGGTTTGATGGGTGTTTTTAGATCAACCAAGCAGGAAATGGTGAAGGTGAAATTGGATTTGGCACTCTTTTGTGAATCTAAAATATAGAATAGTAATAAACAAGATATATATATATATATATAATGCGCATGTGGATGTTTGATTAATTTGGAACATACATAGTGTTCATGACACATTGACTTCATTGCCCCTGTTGTTTTTGCTTCCCAGCTGACCCTCAGAAGGATGTTTGCACTGGATGAGTGAAGAAAGGCAGACACCTATGATTGCCAACGATGCGTTTTCCAATCTGGCAGTCAGAGAACTTTGCACCAGACAACCCTCAATGATGTCCCTTCTACAGCCCTGAATAGACTGTTATATATATATATGTGTGAGTAGAAGCATGGAGAACATACATGCACACTGCGTGCTATATTTTTGGGGGACGTATAGGTGTAATGGTATTTGTCATGCACGGGTCTAACTCGGTCCCAAGTCATCTCCTTCCGCCTTGGTTTTCATGTTTTGCGCCTGGAAGTGTTGGCGGATCAGGCTCTTCATGGGGGATTCCGACTGCTACAACAATCAGCGCCACCAATACAACACCTCCAGCGTTCTTGCCGTTTCCTGGCGACTTCTTAGGGTGGGTTTGTGGGCCGAACACGGAGACCAACTCAGCAAGCTGAATCATTATTGATTCAAGAATGGATTTTGTGGCGTTGGACCGCTGGAAGGGGAAGTTGTTTTCAATCCTATAGGATCCTATAGGTAATTTTAAAGTATAGTTTCTTCTAACACACACCAACTCAGATGGTGAAGCTCAACGTAACTCAGACACACACTCATTTACATTAGTTTCTTTTCTAACACACACGTTCAATGGATGCTCCAACTCAGATGGTGAAACTCAACATCTTATTTTCAAGAATCAGTCTCCCGCCCCCGCATGCCACAATGGATGTGACAACCACGAGCTCAGCAGAGGGACCAGCACGCGAAGAAGGCTTTAAGATGGTTCTGAGCGGGGACGCAGGAGAATTCACGAACACAGCAGCACCTTTTGATGTGTGTCTTTCTTGATGTGTTTACAATTATAACAAGACACACACACATATTAATATATATAGAGAGAGAGAGGCACTCAGATTCTTCACTTGGATTGATTCCAGCCGACCCCGGAATCCTCAGCTGTCCCGTGGTGAGTGTTTTGAGTTTGGATTTTATGATTTTGATGGTACTTGGCCGCCCATCTCAAGCCCTAGCCAAACCCACCTGTACCTCCGTAGCCGCGTAGCTTTCGCACAGACGGTGTAGCCCGCACCAATCCGATGTTTTGATGGGTGTACCACATCAACTCTTTCACTTAGACAGTCACTTGGAAGCCAGCCGCCCAGGTGGCAGAGAATTACACGGTCCACAACATGCCAAGAGGTTGGATGTTGGTGAACGATGGCTATGGTTGTGGCTATACCACCCGCAAGATGCTCGTTGAGACCCAGGAGGAGCAGTGTTTTCCACCGCGAACGCAAGAGCTTTCGAACCTACGAGACGATGAGTCTGGTTCGATGCTTTCAGAGGTTTGCAAAAGAGGGACCAGTTCTCCGCTGGCCGTCAGTGGACCAACTTGTTGCGTTTTTTCAACAGCTGAACAGTTGCTTTGATTCTTTGCCAAACAGTGTGGAGCATGGAGAGTTTCCCGTTTGAGCAGTGGAGATTTCTCTGATCAATCCACCGGGGAAGGGATGGAAGGGGGAGGATCCAACGAACTGAAAAGCAAACGGTCTGCAGCCCTGGGCCATGAATTCCGTGGCATGGCCCCGCAAGGATGACCCGTTTTCCTTTGCAAACCCTAAACCCGAAACGTGGTTTTCATATTATGGTTTTCCATGGCCCAATGGCTGCTGTTTCGGGAGTGTAAGTTCAGCTGCTGGACCAAGAACGACCGAGCTTTTTTCTCAACCAATTGCACCGTTGGACGCTGCAGGTGTTTGTTGCCGCAAAAATCGGGAGATCGAGCCACATGGAGTGTTTTCAGTTTACATATGGTCTTAAATTGTTGTTTCATATACTCGTTGTTCTTTTGGTGTGTTCCTTTCAATTGGTATTGAACTATGCAGCTATGCATATATATATATATATACGTTTGATTTGGATGCATGTTCTTTGTGACTGGCTTCTTTCTTTGAAGTTTCAGGTCCAGATATTGCCGGGACACCGGAATTTGCAAGATGTTCCAAGAACAAGTCCAGTGACATCAGATGAATAATGATGCATATATTAGTTCCTTCAATTAAAGCAAACAACACAGGAAAACAACTATAACAAGACCGGTTGTTGGTGTTTTCTCTGTTCTTCGAACAAGGCCAGACCGGTCGATGAAGATCTCGACGCAAGTTGCGCGAGCCACGAGGACTTGGCGCAGCAAGGCCTGCGGATGGGTCTTTGGACGTCGACGGGCCACTGAGCGGCAGCCACGGCAGACGCGCGCGCGCGCGCGTGCGAGACGCGCAGAGGTGAATCATGGGCCAGTCACAGCAATTTGTGCCGGTAATTGGACCTAAAATGGACCCATGTTTGCTTTGAAAACGTCCGAGTCGGAGACACATTTTTGCACAGACATCCGGCGTCATGGAAGTGGAAAAACAAACTTCATTTTCATGCATTTCTGGTGGTGACCCATCGAGTACTTCTTACCTATTTGGGTGAATGCATTGAATTGGATCTACAGTAAATTCTAAAAGTTCATCTCATATTTTTGTCCTTTCCTACAGGTCCTACCGTTTCTGTTGTCTCGGGTTAACTTGGTTGTAGGTTTGGAGGTGTAGTGTCTTTTCTTTATTGGAGCGTCGCTGAATGCCATGGCAGCAGCGCTGAACTGAAGGGCGGGCGGCGTTGCTATGCCATGCACCCTCGTCTCATCATCATCCAATCTCTCCCCTAAACACCCTCCCGTATGCAGTTTGATCCCTCCATTGCCTTGTTCTGTCCGACCCCGACCGGATGTGTTGAAAAACCCTGACCGGACGTGTTTTCCACATCTCCCGCAAACGCCTCGGTGCCCCTCTCTCTCTCTCCACCGACCGGACGAGTGAGTCCGTCGACCGACGTGGACGATCGACGTGCTGAGGCTTGGACCAAGCACATTGGGAGGTCTCCAAGGCCCATAGCCGCGTCATCAAGACCGATGTGGCCTGGGTTTGGTGGGGCCCCTTGGCGAAGGAGTTAGCGAACTCGGAGACGGTGCAGGAGGAGAAGAATAGAAGAATGGAAGGCACCAGGAGGTCGAGCAGGGGTGGGTGGGTGGGAAAGTTGGTTGGTTGTTTTTCAATTCAAACTGATTTCAACTGAGATTGTATGTTTTACAATGGGCTCAAGAGGAACTTGTTTCTGGAAGGTGAGTGTTTGATTTTATGCTTTTGACATAGCCCGGTTCCTGTCCTGCAGGAATTGCTGCTGCTGCTGCTGATGGTATTGCAGTGAGGTCACGAGAAACTTCAAGCTAGAATACATTCAAAACAACCTTTGTCCTAGGGGTGGAAGAATCAGGGATCCACCCTGATCCTACAAATTTCCAGGTTACAAGTTTGGACTGGACGCTGTCAAGCTGGCGTCCAAGATTGTGAGCCTTGGACGAAGGTGTGTCATTCACGTGTCACGTGTCACGTTTCTCCAACCGCCGCCGCAAACAGAGGTTGGAGGGAAGAGTGGTGGGAGAAAGGGAGAGAAACACAAACTAAAGACCCCATTGCAACAGACACTAAGGGCACAAAGAAATCACCACCATCCCATCCAAAGGCACTTTGGCAGTTGGTCTAGGAGCAAAATAGGAGCAGAATGACCCGAAGTTCTGGGAGTCGATGTTGAGGATTGAGAGCAGTGATGCCCGTCCTTTTACGTGGACTGTTTGTGGCTGGGCTGGTACGCAGAAGTATGCTGTGGTGTGGATGCTTGGCGATGACTCCAGTCGTTTTGCATGCTTTTGAAACACAAGTGGCTCATGTTTGCTCCCCAACGCCTCCAGGCATTGATCAGTGATCTCTCTTCCAGGCATAGACTCTACAGACATCCAGGTCGACCAACATATTGAAATCAAGATGTTCATATCTCCCTCGCGAGACCTTCTACATCCTTCTACTATCGGTATAGTAGACTAAGCCCAGCCAGGGCTCTCGGACCGACGTCAGGGGAGAGCGTCATGGAGGTTGGTACAGCCTTCGGAAGCAGAGCGGAGGGCCTCCATATTCGTTTCTCTATAGTATAGTACTGTCAGTAGTACTGTACTAGTACTGTACGATATTTAATGTTATACAGGAGTCATACAGAAGTTCAAAAAAGAAATCAATATATATTATTTTTTCTAAAGGCCAATGATCTTTTATTGTACCTTGTTTCACCCATAGTGATTCCCAGCCACACCACCAGAAACGCCACCACAAACGCCTCCAGAAACACCTAGGACTGGTGACAATTCTGGTAGCTGGGACTTCATCCGCATGCAGATCCCCACCATTGTGGGTGCCGGCCTCAGCGGTTTAGCCCACGCCAGTGGGGACGTGGATGGCATCTTCTACGGCAGTGCCGAGACCTATGCTGCTCGGCGGGTGGGAAGATTCGCTTGGGGGAGGGGAACACTGGATGGCATGTTTGGGTGGGCTTGGCTGGGGAGGTGGAAAACTGTGGCATGATTGACTCCCAAAACGAATCATGCAGAGAAACAGAAACTCTCTT